AATACTTAAAAACTTCCAAGTTTGATAAATTTAAATACTTAAAAACTTCCAAGTTCGATAATTGAAACAAAGTTTACGATAATTGAAATAAAATTTAAAAATAAACTACATCGCCATCTCTTCTTCATCATCTTTGCCTTCTTCATTTGGAGGGGATATTCCAAGTTCGACTTCTTCAATGTGTAAGTTTGCTTCCAAATCGACATCAATTGCATCTTCTAGGGTGGTGATATGTTGCTTCCGAGCCGCTCTATCCAAATAATCCTTCAAACAAATATATACTTCCACCAACTCGGGACTTAGTCTTGATCTCCGTTGCGATATAACCCTGCCACTAACAGAAAAAGAGGATTCCAAAGCTACCGTAGAAGCTTGGATGGTTAGTAAATCACGGGCCATGGCGGCTAGAATCGGAAATTGTGCTTCTTTTTCTTTCCACCAAGCCAAAATATCCAAACTTTCAAACTCTTCAAATGCCATTTTTGATAGAAAATCGCATGACATGTAATTTCCCAACTAGCAACTTGAGGTAGTAGTACGTGATCGTTTGGATTGAGAATTTACAAGAGTGTTAAAAAGTGACAAATTTATGTTACTTGGACGTCTACTAGATGATTCCGCATTCGTTCTCATTTGATCATGTATTACACTACTTGATCCGTATTTAGTTAAATAAATTGCAAACATGTCTCAAAAAAATTTGTTAAAATAATTTATTTGGTTTTGAACAAAGTTGGGTTCATCATCGGTTAGATTAAAAGCAAACGCAATTTGTTCAATTAGTGTTTCAACCCCGCCAACATTTAACGTTGGGTTTAAAGCGGCGACTCATGTAAAAATGGGCGGAATCTCCTTAAAATATTTTAAAAGTTTTTCCTTCATTGCAAAGCCAATTTCTTGAAAAACTTCGGTTTCAAATTCAAAGTCATTTAGTCGGGTAGCCAACAAAAATATTTGATTAAGAACCAACGGGCTAGTAGGGTAATAAACACCAGATAAAAAAGTTGTTGCATTTTTAAAAACCCCAAGTAAATCAGTTATTTTAGCTATAGTTTCCCAATTCGAATCCGGATAATTGTTTGGGACATGGCCCCTCTCGAAAAGCTGATCGTGAAATGTTTGCAATGTTTCCCTTTGCCTTAAGGCGGTATGCATCATCATCCAAGTTATACTAACCAGTTTTAAAATATCTGATCCGGTTTAAAAAAAGGTTTTTCACAAAACCAGTTTCGGATATTTTTTTCTCAAAATCGGATATTCGGATTTTTTGTGCACCTCTATCTAGAACTATATCTTCTTTGAGACATGATCTTTAATGAAATGATGCCCAATTTTAACATGCTTAGTTCTAGAATGTTTGATGGGAGTTTTAGTAAGACAAATATAAGTAGTATTGTAAAACTTTATAGAGACAATATCTACATCAATTTCATAGTCCATGAGTTGTTGTTTCATCCATAAAACTTGAGCACAACAACTACCGATCGAAATGTATTATACATTCGTGGTTGATAATGCTACGCTATTTTTTTAAAACCATAAAATCAATATACTACCTAGAAATTGACAAGTACCAGAAGTATCTTTCCTATCTAATTTACAATCTCCATAATTCGCATCCAAGAAAGAATACAAGCTAAAATTAGAGTCTCTAGGATACCAAATTCCTATACTAGGAGTGTCTCTTAGGTATCTATAGATCATCTTAATGACTTGTAAATATGTTTCTTTAGGACATGATTGAAATCTAGCACATAAGAAAATACTAAACATAATGTATGGTCTACTTGTAGTAAGATAAAATAATGATCCAATTGTAGACCTATAAAGTTTAACATCTACACACTTACCTTCCTCATCCTTGTCAAGCTTTATAGATAAGCTCATAGGAGTGGCTTGGGGTTTCACATCCTCCAATCCAAACTTCTTAAGCATATATTTGATGTACTTTGCTTGATTGATGAAGATATCATCTTTCCTTTGCTTGATTTGAAGCCTTAAGAAAAATAAAAGCTCCACCATCATGCTCATCTCAAACTCGTCTTGCATTAACTTAGAAAATTCTTGGCAAAAAAATATCATTAATAGATCCAAAAATAATATCATCAACATAAATTTGAATTGCTAATAAATCTTTAACTTTACTTTTTATAAATAATGTAGTTTCAACATTTCCTTTTGAAAAACCTTTTTCAACAAGAAAATCCGACAATCTTTCATACCAAGCTCTAGAAGCTTGTTTTAAACCATATAAAGTTTTTGTCAATTTAAAAACATAATTTGGAAATTTTGAATCCTCAAAACTAGGAGCTTTTTCTACATACACTTTTTCTTTTCTAAAACCATTTAGAAAAACACTTTTAACATCCATTTTGTATAAAGTAAAATCATTATAACATGCAAATGCTAATAATATTCTAATGGCCTCTATCCTAGCTATGGGAGCATAAGATTCAACAAAATATATTCATTCTTCTTGAGTATACCCTTGAGCAACAAGTCTATCCTTGTTCCTCACTAAATTACCATCTTCATCTAATTTATTCTTAAATATTCATTTAGTACCTATAGTAGATTTGTCACTAGGCATTTCAACTAATGCCCATACTTGACTTCTCTCAAATTGTTTTAACTTATCTTGAATAGCCATAATCCAATGTTCATCATTTAATGCTTCTTTAATATTCTTAGGTTCTATGCATAAGATAAATGAAATAAAATTACAAATGTTTTAAAGAAGATCTAGTGGTTACCCCTTGGGATGAATCACCCAAAAATTTCACCACCTTTGACATAGTTGTACTCTTTTAGGGAGAAGACCTCATTTTTCTCTAGAGTTAGATTTTTTGAGAGCATCTTGAGGTTGCACATCCTTTATATGTTTCAATTATGATTCACCAACTTCATTTGAGTTTATGATAACTACATCATCATCAATATAAGAATCATTCCTCATAAGGGGGTTATCATCGAAACAACATGAATAGACTCTTTTACCACTATATTTATTTTATTAAAAACTCAATAACTTTTTGCATCAAATTTGCCAAGATTGTTTTTTCATAATTTAAAATAAAACACTTACACCCAAAAGGATAAAAATAGCTAATGGTAGGTTTTTAAGTTCATATGGAATTTTCTTCAAAATAGTTCTAATCATTATTCTATTTATAATATAGCAAGCGGTGTTTGTGGCTTTCATCCAAAAATATTTTGGCAAATTATTTTCACAAAGCATGGTTCTAACAATTTCCTCTAAAGTTATATTTTTCCTCTCAACAAATTTATTTTGTTAAGGGGTTTTAGGGGCTAAAAATTATGGTTAATACCATAAGAGTTGCAAAAATCCTCAAAACCAAGATTTTGAATTTCGATTCCATGGTTACTCCTAACACTATAAATCGAGTAACCTTTTTCATTTTGGGTTATTTTAAAAAATGTGATGAATTTATCTAAATCTTCATCCTTAGTACTTAAAAAAACTCATGTTAATCTAGAGTAATAATCAACAAACACAAAAACATATTGATTTCCACCCAAGATAGTAGTCCTAATACGTCCAAATAAATTAATATGGATCAATTGTAACACTCTACTATAGGAAACATCATTAATTTATTTAAAGGAAACTCTTTTATGCTTACCCTTAGCACATACATCACAAATTTTATTGAAGTTAAACTTTAGCTTTGGTAAGCCTCTCACTAGATCATTTTTCATTATCTTATCTAATATGCTCATGCTAGCATGTCCAAGTTTTCTACGCCATAAGCATAAACCATTTTAATCTTTAACAATTAGGCATACAATATAACCTTTATCACACAATTGACTAATTCTACGTGGATTATGCTTTAATCCGTTGACATATAACACATTTTAAATAAAGATGGAAGAATTGTTTCCAATTGAACTGATTCCTTCAATGTGGCCTTTAGAGTTGTCACCAAAACTTACTAGTCCTCCACTTTTAGGTTTGAGCTTTTTGAAACGGTTCTTGTCACCAGTCATATGTCTTGAGCATCCACTATCAAGGTACCAAGAATTTACGCTTTTGTTTTGTGCCTTGTAACAATGCTCATCCACCTACAAAATAAGATTAATTTTCTATTTTTGGTACCCAAATTCTTTTGGTTCTATAGGAATTAGTTCCTAATAATTTAATCCCCTTAGGTATCCATTTTTCTAGGATATTTTTGTCTTTAGTAGCGATTAATTCTTTGGGGACCCATATGCTTTTAACAACTTTCTTATTAGAGGTTCTTTGGGGACCTCTATTTTTTTTATTGTCTATAGCTATTTTTAACATATTTGGATTTAGAAGTTTGGTCTTTTTAAAATCGGTTTGCTCCAACCTTGTTAAAAGAAGCTTTGAGATCATCAAATTACTTTTGAAGATCATCATGGAACTTTGAACGTAGGTTGTGCAAGTCTTGATTTTTCTTTTCAAACTACTTAAGTTTGAATTGCATATACTTGATTATACTTTCAAGTCCATTGTTGGTCTTGGATAAGAGATCATTTTCGCTTTTTAATTTTGAAATATTATTCTTATGTTTTGAAAGTATGATATCAAATTCCTAAGCTAACTCATCTTAAGTCTCTTGTAATTCATCAAAAGAATATTCATTTGATGTAGATGAATTAGAGGTTACCTTAGAGTTGTCCTTTATGGCCATGAGACACAAATTTCCTACCTCTTTCTCTTCTTCATCAGAGCATTCTTCATTACTCCATATAGCAATATGTGCCTTTTGTTTCTTCTTATTGGACTCTTTCTTCTTTAATTGAGGGGAATCGAATTTGATATGCCTCAACTTTTTACACTCATAAAAAATTATGGAATCCTTCTCTTTTGATTCATTCTTGAAGCCCTCATTCTTTGAAACCTTTTTCCTCTATTGGACCCATGAATCTCTTGAATCATTTGGAAAATATTGTCATCTCTTTATCTTAATTATCTTAATTAGAATCACTCTCATCTTTTTTTAGATTTAAGAGCAATGCCAATGTTTTTATTTTTTCTTCATCTCTTTATTTTCGTTGTCTTTCTTTTCTTGCTCTTCTTCTTCCATTACCATTAACTCATTAGTAAGCAAATACCCAATGAGCTCATCAAGATTAAGGGTCTTTAGATTCTTTGTTTCAACTAAGGATATCTTCTTGGATTGCCATGACTTGGGAAGATTATAGATCATCTTCCTAACAAGCTACTCATTAGGAACGACTTCTCCAAAGCCTTTGAGAACATTTACAATAAATAAAAATTGATGGTCATGGCTTTAATATCCTCAGCCAATCTCTTCTTGAAGTCTTCATAATTATGATTGAGAAGGCTAATTGTACTTTTTCTTACCTTATTTGTTCCTTCATGAGTAACTTCAAGATTTATCTAAATCGCTTAGCATGGGAACAAGATGACACTCTCTCGTATTCATCAGGGCCAACTACACAAAATATAATGTGCATGACCTTACCGTTGAGATGGAACATTTTTCTTTCTTCTTCATTCCATTCCTCCATATCCATAGTTGGAGTAGTGTGACATTTCATCATGATGCTTCATGCTCTAAAATCATTAGCTTGAATGAAAACCATCATCCTATTATTCCAATAGGCATAGTTGGATCCATTAAAGTATGGAGGCCGCTTGATGGGCTGAGAATCATTAACTATGTCAAAGTTTGAAGTAGATGCCATTGAAGGCTTGAAAACATATTGAACTCTTCTAGGATCTTCTCAAGATATGGTTAAACCTTCCAATTATTCTAACTCTAATACCAATTATTGAGTCAATCGAACCAATAGAATGACCAATAGGGGGTGAATTGGCAATTAAAAGAGTGATAAAAGTTTTTTGCAAAAAAATAAGAAAAATTAGACAAGTAATTTTAGAGTGGTTCAACTTCTTCAATGAAGTCTACATACAATTCATTAGTTTCCACACTAAGGATTTCAACAAATTCACTAATTTGTTCAAATTTTTTAGGACAAGGTGTAACCTTACAACACATTTAGACTTATACCCAAAAGTCTCAAGTGTACAACCCTTCCAAAAAAGAAATTACAAATAGCAAACTTTGAAATATTTCTTACAAAGAATGTGTTTGCACAATTTAGAACAAATAGAACACTTGAAAGAATAAAATAAAGAAATACAAAAGTGTTGTTGAAACAATTTTTTAGCCTTTGTGATTGCTATGGTTTCCTATTTGATTTATTGTCTTCATATATGACTTGGAATCTTGTTTTTATATCCCTTGATTCAATTCTAGTCGTTTGAGTTGTTGTGAGAGTTCATAGAGCCGTTGGGATGAAATTTCTCGTAATAAATGATGCCTAGATACCTCGAGTATCGATACTATTGCTTGGAGTATCGATATTGATTGCATTAAATAAAAAATTCTAGCCATTGGGGAGAGGGGAGTATCGATACTCTACTTAAAGTATTGATATCAATATTGATACTTGCACAATATCAATACCAAAATAGCCTACTGAAATTTGCATTTGTCAAAAGCATTAAGGGAGAATCGCTGCCAGTATTGGTACTGTTCTTGCAGTATCAATACTGTAAGGTTAAAAATTAATTTTTGACTCAATTAAAATCCGAAACCCTTCGTAAAAAAGTTTGAAATTTTTCCCAGTTTATGACTAAAATTTTTCAAAAAATTTAGGAGTAAAAATGGAGTTTTTAACTTTTCATATTTGAACGATTGAATCAAATATAATATTGAAAACTGAATAAAAATATTCTTAAAATTTCTTTAAAAGTATTAATTTTTGGTATATTAAAAATATCAAAGCATGGTTCAACATATAGTTTAAATTAAAATAATATAAACCTTATAGTTTATAAACTCAATACAAAAGTAAGGGTCATATTCATATACATGCCCTTTAAAAGAATAATACAATCTCTGTAAGGAATGTTGGAAATCCTGCCGCGATGGAGCTTCTCGAACAACTCAAGCTACTAGACTACGAACAAATATATCTGAACACTAAGCTTACAAAATTTAGTAGTATAATCTCTCTAGAGCACCATTATGAATCTCATAAACATAAGCATGCTAGAAGACATTAATCAAGTGCTACCTATTTAAGGTTCAACAATTCTACCACTATAGTCTGAGTTTCACACATCCCTTAGTCTTCTGCTAAGGGCCTCACTATTAGTATATATATATATTGAGTCTTTAACCATAATATCATATTATTATGCATCATCATATTTAATACACAATCATCACACAACACAATGATAGTATTCAATATTACATAGTCACGAAGTACAATCACATATGAGAAAACCCAATCATCACATAGCCTCGGTAAAATTTCCACTTAAACATAACATTGGTTTGGTGTCACATGGATGTCAAGCCAAGCATCATGAGTATCTATCAATCAAAAATCAATGCAATCAAATATGTATACAAGGGTACTCATAGGACACACACATCATTCAATACCACACAAGGACAATCAAGGTAGCCTAGTTACCCATTAACATAGTTCAACACAATTAGGTTTCATCCCTTCACTCGCCTCTATCTCACTCGTTCTCACATCTAAAACATTATGCAAAACTTTATTAGTTTTTTACGTCTATTATTTTGTTAGACCACTATGTTCTACTCATTAACCTCAAGGGCATTTTGGTTAATTTTCACCTATTGATGTGTTTCTAGCGTTTTACGTTCTTAAGATAATTACTATTACCAGTACCCACTTGATATATTATTTAGTGGCTTACTACTTGACTCAAAGTTCATTAATCGCAATAACTCTCTAACTACTCTCATCACAAGTTCGTATGATACATCATATCGCTTACAAGAGCATTCTTTGGAATGATACTTCTTTCATGATTGTTCGATACGTGATCGATTAAGGATACTTTGAGGTATTCTACCGTTAAGGGTTTTATGGATATAAATCACTCTCAAAAGTGTCATTAGTTGCTTTTAACAATTTAAGCCTCTAGCAGGATAAATCTCACTATTGCGGGTTATCCCTCACTCTTACAAGCCTTTAAAAAATTATATTTGTGCACCTAAAATAGGTAGTATTGTTACCATACATGCAATATTGATACTTCCTTGACAAGTATAGATACTCCATTCAGTATCGATACCAAAAAATAGCTTCAAAATTGCCAAAAATCACCTTAGTATCGATACTAACACCTCCAATATTGATACTAGATGAGTATTATCAATACTCCCCCTTACACTATTGATACTACCCTTATAAAATGCCTAAAAATCAACCTAGTTCATTTAGTATCGATATTGTTAATCCAATATCGATACTTAAACCCAGAAATGTCTCGTTTAGGCTCGGGAAACACTTAAAATCCTCATAAACACTTTAGTTTAACCCAAAATTATGCTTTACAACTTAGGGGAGAACACAAGCTTTACAATAAAAACGTCATCTAGGGCAAAATCAAGCAAGAACCCCCAAACATGCTTAACACCCAAATCTTCAATAAAACATCATATTTAGGAAAGTCATAACACCACAAAGGATTAGAAATACACTACCTTGATAAAGAATCCCAAAATGAAACTCATTTGCTCAACTATCACTCTCATCTTCTTCCTTTAGCACTTGGTAGCTTTTATACTCTTCTTTAGCCAACAAAAGATGCAAGAATTTCTTAACATACATAAGGGTTGTAAGAAATAATTGAGACAAATTAAAACCTTATTTAAGTATGGAAAAATGCTCTTACCAGTCATTTGATGTTATGGAGATTTAAAAAAGAAAAGATGACGAAGAAAAATATATCACAAACAATTATACTCTTGGAATCACTAATACATCATGTATATACTCACGTAGTACGATTGGTATCTAGGGCTAAATGATATAAAATTGATTATCACTGTTGATTTATCTACGGCTAAATGATATCAAGTATCATGATTTTTTTATTACGAGATTATTAAGTGATATCGAGTAGTTCATTGTTGTTGATATAATTGTGTTAATAAGTCTCAGAGTCATTGATTAACTTATTGTTACTGATACCTTTATGCAGTATACTAAAAAATGTTGGTAAGTAAAATATCCCAGTTAGTGATGATATATGTTTATGCTCATCGCTTTTTGTTTATACTCACGTAGTCGCTTTGCATACTTATATTTATGAGTTGTTTGAAGTGTAATAGAATAGAAGTGTGTTGTGAGTTTGTAAAGCTCAATATTCAGATGTTTTCGTTGTTCATTTCAGAGGAACATCATCGTTGAAAAATTTCTAACATTTTCTTCTTAGAGTACAAAACTCGACTTATTTTATAGGATATGTGCATCATTAAGACACTTGTTTTATATTTTGAGTATGTAGCTGTAGTTCTATTATTATTTTGATTTATTTTTTTATTTCTACTATAACAACACGAAGCTTCGATTTGTATAATTGTTTTACAATTGCTATCGATCATTTTATTATGAAAAATTCAAGTATGTGATATATTAATAGAAATATTAAAAGATTTTAATTTTTTTTTTATCGTTTTGATGATTGAATAGGATATTTTAGATTATAAAAATTATATTTTACGTTATTGATTTTTAGAAGGAAAAAAAGTTGTCCAAAATTAAACTCAAAATTTAATATCAATAATGATTGAAGCGATATTCCTTATAACAGCACAAATTTAATCGACTTTATATGATTACTTTTAAATATCAAATTTTAGATTTTAAAATTAATAAATGCATCAATCATAGAGAAAACCACAAGATGTTGGACTATATGTTTTTAGATTTTTATATATATTTGAACTTTCATCCTTTTAAAAATTTAAATAATACTATGTTTCAAAATTTGATGTTATCACATAATCTTGTTTAATAATTTTATGAAAAAAATACCATAATATTTTATTAAATTAAAGTTCAAAATATCAATTTCAGACAAAAAGAGTAAAGGTGTTATTTTGAGAGAAAATGGTAAGTCTAAGGACCATTTTAGAAATTACGTTTTTGTTGCAATTTTAACATTTAACTGTGGGAATGATGGGAGTTTAAACGCAAGGACCAATTTGTTCAATACGAATTGCATATGAACTAGTTTATTCATTTTTCAATCAAAGGACTAAAATACAATGTAGTAGTTAATACATGGACTTGTATGATACTTTTACCGAGATTTTGGTTCTTTTAGGGCCCGAGATTTGGGGTTTTAGAAGAGAGAAGAATGAAGGACATGAAACAAATAAATGAATTATAAATAAATGGGTTGGGCCTATGAATTTGGGTCAAAACACCTTAATATATACGTAATAGATTTCAAATTCGGATCAAAGCCGGGGCAGGCAAAAGTCCGCCCGCCCGTAATATCGCCATTCCTATCCTACCTGCTATTTTAAGAAGGGAAGCTAAGAAGAAGAAGCAAAGGAATAGTGGTGATGGGTAGAGTTAGAAATTGGTGGAGCCATTCAAAAACTGTTGCTTTAATCTGGTTTTCCTCTCTTGCTTTGTTTTACTTTCTCTTCCAAATGGCTCTCCACAATTCAACTTCTCCTCCTCGTTTAGGTATTTTCTCTTCCCCTACCATGTTTTTTTTCTTCTTCCATATTCATTTAAATGATTTCTTAGCTTTTTATCACGAGATCCTAATTTTATCTTTTATGATCTAATGTCATTTTAGCTTTAAAATAATTAGTGGGCAGCTTAGTTGTACATCATGCGATCCTAATTTTTCATGTGAGCTTTAAAGTTGTCCTGGGTTTTTGACTTTTTGTTGCTGGGGTTTCATTAAACTTCATGTTTCCTTTTTTGGGTTTGGGATTTTCTTTTAGTGTAAATGTTTTTTTATTGATTTATTAGGAAAAATGAATACTTTTTTGTATGATTGTTTGAGTAAACCTGACACTATTTAATTTTGATGGTTTTAGGCTTCAAATCACTAGAACATTATGTTGCCAGTTGTGAATTCGTGGTGTTAATTCATCATGTTTGCCTTAGTTATTAAAAACTCTTTATGTTATAGTTTTCTTTTATAAAATTCTTGATCATCATATTACTGAACTTAGATTTGAGTATGTTAACTATGTTAGGGTTTTTTTTTGTGTCAGATTCTTTCGTGTCATATAGAATTAGAAGATCAACATTGTATGATAAAATGGAAAGGAGTTTGGAGGAACATGGAGCAGCTTTTCTAAAACATGGTGAAACTTCGCAGTCACTGACACTTTCAGATCTCTTTACTTTGAAAGATGGATATGTTACACCTGTGCTTAAGGTAATACATGAGTCAACTGAGATGTAATCAATCCTTCCAGACTAGCGGTTAGTAATGACTTTCGTCTTCGTTGCAGGCTGCAGATCCTCCTGTACGAGCCAACATTCTGTATATGAGCACAAAATACGCAGAGCCCATCTCGTAAATTTTGTTTCCATCAGAATGCGTTTTGTTTTTATTAAATTTATGACCTACTTGCTTATTATCGGAACATTGACCCTAGAAGTAAAATGCCTGTGCTAGTGACTTTTATTTGATCTTAGTTATGTGTGATTTCCCGTCATGCCACTTCAGCAAAGTACAAATTAGAACATCTACTTTAGTTGTACCAATTAAGAACTCAGCTTTCTGGTTTGAGTTTGAAACAGGCTTTCTATGGTATGTAGGACTTTGAGATAATTAATGGGGACTTATATTTAGTATTTCCATTATATGCTAAACACTTTTTGTGGGTTGAGAGTTGGGGAGGGGTCCTTACATGGTAGTCTGATGCATGCTTTTCTTGTCACAGAGAGGCTGTAAAACAAGTGTTTGATCCATACTTTGACAAAGGTAATCTCTTGTAAAGAAGTATGTGTTTATGCTACAGTTTCTTCCACATATTTCCTTCAGTTATTTTGGTAATCTATTGGATTTAATTTATTTGATACTTTTTTAATAACAAGAGTAGTTTAGATAACTTTATTTAATTATTCATTCAGTTATTTGATAACTTCTGCCTTTTCTGTATTTATTCTCATGTGTTTGTTTGCTTATATATATTTTGGTTAGCTATCTGGTTTCAGAACTCTAGTTTGTACCATTTCAGTATGTTCCACGCCTCGCATCATATTGAACCTGTTCCTGCCTCTGAAGTTGAGGTAAACTGCCTGTTAGAGCTACTTTGGTGCCCTTCTTTTCAGCTTGTTAGTCGTTGGGTTTGATTTTTAAGCCTCTTTTCTCTTTTCAGATTGAAGCCGAAGTAGCTGTTGTTAAAGCCGTTGTGGAGGGGCTATGCCCTTTAGAAATTGTCTTAGACAGGGTAGTTTTAACTTCGACTGGTGTGCTCCTTGGTTGCTGGCAGGTTACTTCTTCAATTATAGTCTTTATTCCCCCTGCTGACCTGTCAAAATAAAAGGATTTTGTACTTTTTAGTGCACTGTTGAACGCTATCTCTTTCCTTTCTAGGTAATTTCTGGAACAGATCCTGCAGAAATTCGTGCTAAATTGAGAACGGCACTTCCAAAAGCTCCAGAGAAGCAACTTGTAAGATTCTTGTGAAAATCTTAATTTTGGTCAAACTAGTAATATTCAAATGGCAATGTTGTGAATTTAAGGGCTATGCTTTTTTATGGAAATGTCTTTTCTTGTCTTAATTCTTATTTAATGGTTTTGGCATCGTTGTCGGGATCTGTCCTTATTTTCTGACAATAATAAGAATTAAATGAGTATTTATCTACTTACTTTTGCAGTATGATGCTGCTATTCTTCACACATCTTTTGCCAGGCTTCTGAGTCACCCTAAAGCTTCACTCATGGTATTGTTTTGATATTCTATTTAGTTACGATAATTTTTAAAGTTCTATTTAGTTACAGTAATTTCCTTTTTATTTTCTTAATTTTATGATGTAACATGCATGAAAGAACATTGAGATAAGTTACAATCCTTTTCATATTGCCATGATGGTTGAACCTTGAATTACAAAAAGTAATCGCTGTTGTAATTTGGTGAAAGCCAATTTTGCGGACTTGAACATAATAAGGTTTCCTTAACTCTTGTACGAGTGAACTGTAACTTTATGCTTCTCAGGGAAAAGAAATGGCTGGCAAATCTTGTTATATATAGTTTCAGTGTTTAGGTCAAATGGAAAATAACAGTTATCATGAATCATGTGTATATAATGCATGTTTTATGCAGGACACCGATAATACTTCAAACCTGATTGAACTGTTGCGTAAGCTGGTCTCTCAACTCAACAATAAAATCCGCGGATTTAAGGCAAGTTGGTATACTTTGTATCATCACTTGTCATATGTGTTTGCGTTGTTTGAATAGCTGTCTATGCATAAAAATCTCACATGTGCATGATCGTCATTTTTCAGTTAATCACCTTATAATTCCCCTTCTCTTCACATTTCTTAAAATTCATATTCTAAATCTCTGAATCACAAAAGAAAATTCAAAACTATGCAACTTCACAACTTGTCTTTGTCCCTATTGACAATTCATGCAACAGCAGCATGAAATTCTTTCACATACGAGTGATAGATGCAGTTCTGTTTTAGAAAAGATTTACTGATAAATAGTTGAACTAACCTGAACCGGAATTGCTTTGGATCAGTATGATATTTTAATTGTCCTGTAAGAACAATTGTATGTTGTATGTCCTTTAAGGACAATTAATTTAAGGTGTTAAAGAACTCACTTATCGAAGAACATACAAATGACTACACAATGTACATTGTATGTTCTTCAATATCTAAGTTCTTTGATGTTGAACTGCGGAACCTCGCAACCTGTACAAAACATGGCTCCGAGAAACTTTCAAGCTCATTTTGAGGGAGAAGACCTAGGGAATGGTATCCAATTTATCGATTCTTCCCCATCATATCTTAGGAGGTACTTAAGTATCGGAGTTGTTTGATATGTAGTCAAATAACATGAATATCGAAAACACGAACCCTCTTGTACTAGGCATAGCATTAGTCTACCGGCTAGTACATGGTTGAATGGAAATGCATTCTTATATTTGTAATCCATGTTTTCGTGCAACTAACGGTTCATAAATCATTTCTGGGGAAAATTTCTGATGGAGAGAGTGAGAGGGCAGATATTCTGGTGACAAAGATGGAGAGGTTCATGGAGGGGGTACTTGGTCTGCGTTCGTTGATAACCTTAGTAGAAGAGTGAACAGAAGAACATTAGGGGAACATTTTAGTTATCATGGAAAAGTTATTAGGGTGTTTATTCCTTTTATTAACAACAGACCAAAATACAAGGATTGTACGTTTGCATTTGTCCATTTTGCTAGCAGGAAGGATCTGTGCAATGCGATGGAGAAGATGAATAAGGTCAGGATCGACGGGAAGATTATTTCTGTTTCAGTAGCTTAATATGACAAGTTAGCTGGGATGAAGAATCGTGAAGGGAATACTGAGGAAGGCTTCAAAAGGGTAGATAGAGGAGAGTGGAAGGGCAAACGAATGGCTTCTCCAGCACAAGTGAAAGAGAAAATGGAACGAATGAACAAGTTCCATGATGGAAGAACTTATAGAGACACTGTAGTTGGGGTGAAGAAAGTTCCAGAAGGTCTTCGAGTTAGCAGTCAAAGGAATACAAAGGAAGAGAAGAAATCTTTGGATGTCTTTATCCCGATGGAAGAGAGATTATGGTTGAAATCTTCACTTACTGACATTTGCAAAGATATTTTTGAAGTAGAATTTGTGCAGAAAGCCTTACGAAATGAGGGCTTCAAAGTTAAGGTGATAAGGTGGGGATGTGCGAAGAATGCGTGTCTGGTGGTGTTTCAGTCGGTTGATGAGAGAAGAATTGCAATGGAAGAAAAATGGGAAGCTTTAACATTCTGGTTTGATATATTGGAGCCAGTGGTAGAGGAGGGGGGTATCCCATTAGCTTATTGTGCGATTTCAATTATTGGTGTCCCATTAAATTGTTGGTCGGTCCCGTTCTTTTCTAGCTTAGCATCCAGATGGGGCAAGGTTGTAAAAATCCAAGATCAAACTGCACACAGAGTGGACTGTAGAGTGGCGCAGCTGTTACTAAGGGTTGAGAGTCCATTTGACATTCCAGAACAAACCAGCATCACTACGTATGGGAGAAAATTCATGATTAAAATTAAAGTTGATGGTGCTGAGGATTTTTTCCCAGAATTAACATATATGGAGGTAGAAGAAGCTGCAGAGGAACCATAGGAGGAAAGCTCTTCGGATTGGAGCAATGAAGACGTGCAGAAACGACAAGAAGAGCAGGAGGGAGTACAGGAGTTGTTAGTACCCCAAAATAGGATTGAGTATTGGGTTAGAAGTTCTCAACAAGGCAAAAACACAACTACCGAGGGAGGTTTGAATTTAAACATAGGTAGGAAAAATACATTTGACTTGTGCAAAGAAGTGACAGAAGTAGGTGATGTCTCTACACAGCGGGAAAAGTCAGAAGAAGTTAATGAAGGGAGAGAAAATGAGAAAAGTTTGGGAGGTGGTTTTATAGAGCAGGATATAGTTGACTGCGAAAATGGGCTTATTAGGGGCCCGGTTTTAAATTCCAGGAGTGGGCTGGAGCTTGAGGAGGAGAGATTAAGCAAGGGTTGCTGTTTCGAAATAACAGATAATAATGTTGTGCAATGTCAAACTCATGTGCATGTGGGAACTGTTTTCCTGACCTCCCAAAGAAATTCGGGGACTGTATTTGGGAGTAGATTGAGAAGGGGCAAATACAAACATGTTTATTCAAGATCTAGGTCGAGGGGAACTAGGAGTTGTTTAGGTACAAGTTCGGATTATGTACATAACAACGAGGAGGAGGATGGGGCAGAGGCATTGGAGAGCTGGAATGTTAGTAAATTGTTAGGGGTCACATTTAGAGGGGGGAAAAAGCTTTTATGAACAGAGCAATTCCATTGATTAAGGAGAGAGGAGTACATGGGGGAAATTAAGGGGTGATGGTTTCCAAGGTTATGATAGGATATAGATGATTAGTTGGAATTTACTGACTTGGAATGTTAGAGGTTTGGGTAGGAGGATAAAGGCTAGAGCTGTAAGGAGGGTTGTTGATGAGAGAAAGCCTTTAATTTTTTTCATTCAGGAATCGAAAAAAGAAGTGTTGACCCCGTTGGTAGTGAGGAAAATGGGAGGTAATTTGTTGACAGCTTCGGTAATTTCAGCAGCTGAAGGTTCTGCTGGAGGTCTGATTACTTTATGGAATGAAAAAGAGTGTAAGGTTATAGAGGAGGTCATTCATAGGAGATATGTAGCAGTTAAGGGTATTATTGATGAGTCACAAGGAGCTTGTTGGTTCATAAATGTGTATGGTCCAAGTGTGGATTCAGAAAAGGAGGCGTTTTTTGGGGAGCTGTTATCATTCTTAGAGAATATAGACTGTCCAATGTGTCTCGGAGGAGACTTCAATGTGGTAATGTCACAGGAAGAGAAGATCGGAGGTGCAGTTAACTTAGCTACAATGTTTGCTTTCAAAGATTTTGTAAGCAAAGCTAATTTACTGGATTTGCCTCTGGTTGGAGGCCGATTTACATGGTGCAACAATAGAGATATCCCAACTTATGAGAGGTTAGATCGATTCCTAGTGGACCAAAGATTTCTATCTTTGTTCCCTATGATAACTCAAAGACTCCTAGAAAGGTCTGTTTCTGACCATAATAGCATCTTGCTGGAAAATAGGGGCTGGAATTGGGGTTCTAAACCGTTCAAATTGTTTAATTATGTCTTGGAAGAGGATGGGTTTTGTAAGATGATGGAGGGAGAACTTGTCAAGCTTTGTGATGTGGAGAATAGGCAACTAATCTCTAGTGTACTAAAAGGAGTGCAGGAAGCAGTGAAGAAATGGTATGGGAAGGGATATCTTGAGATCCCTGGGAGAATAAATAGGTTGGAGAAAGAAATTCAGATGATGGAACTTAATTTGCAACAAGGTCTCTCCACGGTGTCTATGAAGAACCTAGTGGAAGCAAAGAAAGAGCTGTGGGACTTGTATAAAAAAGATGAACTGATTTGGTTTCAAAAGTCAAGATTGAAGTGGAATTTGAATGGGGATAAGAACACTAGATTTTTCCACCAGTGTGCAAGAGGTAGAGGAAGGAGAAATAGTATCAAATCCATCAAAGTCGATAATGAAGACATTTCAGATCCAAAACTAATTAAAGCTTCGGTGGTGCACTTTTTCAAGGGTTGTTAAACTAGGAAAATACATTGGAAGTTGAGGAACCGGACTTGGATTTTTTAAAGCTCTCGAATCAGCAGAGTATGGCCCTCGAGAAGCCTTTCTCTGAAGAGGAAATTTGGGGTGTAATCGCTAATTCGGATAGTAACAAAGCACCTGGCCCTGATGGACTGAATTTAGGCTTTTTTAAGAAGTTTTGGCCAAGTCTGAAGGAAGTTTTGCTGCTGTTTTTTAAGGAATTTTATGAGGGAAAGGAATGGGACATGGAAACCAATCACTCTTTCCTCTCTCTTATTCCAAAGAGGGACAATCCGGAGGGGCTTGAAGACTTTAGACTTATTAGTCTTGTTGGGGGTTTCTACAAAATTCTTTCAAAAGTTCTTGCTAGAAGGTTAAGCTTGTGCATTAATGATGTTATTAGTCCATCACAATTCGCATTTATTCCGGGGAGACACATTTTAGATTGTTCGTTTATAGCAAATGAAGGCATCGATTGTTGGAGGAAAAAAGGATTGAAGGGAGTTGTCTTTAAGGTGGACTTCAAAAGAGCTTTTGATTCGGTTGATTGGAGAATCTTGCTAAAAATAATGAGTAAAATGGGGTTTGGAGCTAGATGGAGTTCTTGGATGTATAAATGTGTTTCAGCAGCTTCCATTTCAGTCTTGGTAAATGTCACTCCTACGGAAAAAATCAACATTACTAGAAGTCTAAGGCAGGGCTGCTCGTTATCCCCTTTGTTGTTCAATTTGGGAGGGGAATTGCTACATTTAATGTTGGTGAAAGCAGTGAACAAGGGGTTTTTTTCGGGTTTTGAATTAGGCTCTAATGATCGTTCTTTCATGTTATCTCATTTGCAATTCGCGGATGACTTAATAATTTTTAGTAAGGCTTCTAGTCATGATTTGGTGAATATTAGGAGGGTGCTTCTAATTTATGAACTGCTGGTGGGTTTGAAGTTGAATTTGTCCAAGAGCAGAATTTTTGGAATTAACGTGGGAGAGGAGGAGTTAGTTTCATGGGCAAAGGAAATAGGGTGCGTAAAGGGAGTTTTTCCATCGGAGTACTTAGGTCTTCCATTGGGGGCCAAGAGGAATACCGGTTGTACAAAAATTTTATAAGAGTTTGGCTGGTTGGAAGGCCAAGTCTTTATCTCTGGCTGGAAGGGTTGTCTTGGTCAAATCCGTGTTGTGCTCTATTCCAATTTACTACCTTTCTATTTTTCGGATCCCTATTAGAGTTCTCAACAAATTAAACTCTATCATGGCATCGTTTTTATGGGGGGAACATCAGAGAAAAAGAACATTCATTGGATCAAGTGGGATTTGGTGTGTAAGCCAGAGAAGTTGGGGGGTTTAGGGATCCCGAATCTGTTGTTATTAAACAGGGCTCTTTTGGGGAAATGGGTGTGGAAATTTGCTGCAGAGAAAAATTCTTGGTGGAAATCTGTTGTGTGATGTGTTTATAATATGGATCCTAATTCTTTGATGATCCGGAATACTTGGACAGCTCGTACTTCTTGGATTTGGAGAGGAGGAGTTAAGAACTTTTCAAGCGATGCATTTGGGGACTGTTTTAGGAGAAATTTGTGTGTTAGAGCAGGAAATGGAGAAACAGTTAAGTTTTGGCATGATGTTTGGTTGGGTTCGGTTCCTCTTAAAGATAGGTTCCCAAGGTTATTTGCTCTCTCGAATAACAAAGAGGGTAAGGTTGCAGAATTCAGATTGCATATGATGCGAGTTGGGTTTGGGACATTCAAACGAGAAGGAATTTGGTGGATTGGGAGGTTGAGCAGTGGCTTCAAATTATCTCTCTGTTGAATAACTCTTCTTTGTCCCTAGTAGAGGAAGATTGTTGGATTTGGTTGGGAAATGGAGAGGGCTGTTTTACAGCAAAATCATGCTTGAAAGCTTATTTTGATAGAGAGGGTAATGATGAATTAGAAAGCAATTGGGAAAAATATGTTTGGAAAGGAGTAGCTCTACCACGTGTGGAATCTTTTGTTTGGCAACTTGCTCATCATAGAGTTGCGGTGAAAGAACTGCTGAAGAGAGGAGTTATTGGGGTTGAAGACTCTGTCTGCCCTATGTGCAGGAAGTACAATGAGTCGGTCGCTCATTTGTTTCTTCACTGCGAAGTGGTATGGGTTTTGTGGGAAGTTTTTAAAGTTATGGAATGTTTTCTTTGTGGTTCCTGGTTCGTTGATGGATTTCTTAATGGCCTGGGATGACCTAGTGCCACGATCTCACATATGGAAGTTATTCCAAGAGCAGTGTTGTGGTCTGTTTGGAAATGTAGGAATGAGGTGATTTTTCAGAAAGGGAAGTTTGATTCAGCGTTGTTCTTCATTACACGTTTCAGAACTGTTTCTTGGTTTGAAACATCAGTTGAGGATGTTCACTTTCATTTCGATTCTCTGATGGGGGATTTAAAACTAGCAGATCAACTTGGTAATCCGAATAAGAAGAATTTCCTTCTTCTAGGTGGAGTCCTCCTCCGAAAGGGTTTTTAAAATTAAATGTTGATGGTGCAATGGTTAAAGATTGGGATAAGGGTGGAATAGGTGGCTTGATTAGGGATGGCAGTGGGTTGGTGCTTGGGTCATTTTCAGAGAAGGTAGGGGGAGGTCCTCCTTTACTCGCTGAGCTTTTGGCTATCAATAGAGGGTTGATTCTTATTGAGGAAGTTGAAGTTGTTTTCTGTCCAAATCAGAGGATCATATTGGAATCGGACTCTTCTAATGCTCTGAAGTGGATTAATAATTCGAATCTTAGTACTACTTTGTTTCAATCCTTGGTAACGGATATAGCTTCTACTGTGGAGAGGAAGGGTATTATCACAAGACACATCTCGAGAGCAGCTAATTGGGAAGCGGATGAATTAGCTAAAGCTGGCATAGGCTGACTTTAGGTTTGTGTAATTGTTAAGGTGTTATGTCTCGGTTGTTACTATTTAGGGTGTATTAGGGTGTTTTATGCTTTTAGAATCATGGTTGTTCTGTTTTGTAAGATGTTAGGTGTGGAGGTGTATTATTGTTCTCATTAATAAAAGTTAGAGGCACTCTTTCCCTCCTTCCAATGTCCTTCATGTTATGTTTGTAACACGTAGGATAAGAAGGGGGTTTTAATGAGACCTTATTCTATCAAAAAAAAAATCCATGTTTTCGTGCACTTCAACAACTATATATTACACACATATACATATCTATAAGATTGTGTTTGAACTCTGATGTTTGTACTCTGATGTTTGTACATATGATTCAGGCGACGGTGTCGGAACTGTGGTATGTAGAGGAATATGATGTGTTGGCCCTTGCCTTAAACGGAAATATGAAGGTGCGTAGGTTCCACATGGGTTGCACAAGAGGCTGAACTTCCAAATTCAGATGCTATTTTGAGCATATTTCAACTCCCCTTAATTATAACCCCACTTCTCCTGGAGGCTTTAGCTGATAGCAGGCTTCATTGTACAGTTCATGGCTTTATTCAATATTTTTAACTTGCATATCTTCTTAATACTCAATCTGGGATGTTATCAGTGAGTTTGATTTTGATATTTGATATTATATATATATATATATATATATCTAAAAGAAGTTATTAATGAGGATGTTATACTTGATAAGTTTTTTATTAAATCTTTTAAAATAAAATAAGATGAAAATAACGGTTTTAAGTAGTGAAATAAGATTTTTAAGTATTAAATTAGAAAGATAAAAATAATATAGAGGCGAAATTAAAAGAAAAAGAAAACCTCTTATACCCGCTGTGTTAAAAGCTTGAAACATCCTTCATAGGGATATAAATCAAATAGTGTTGGATGAATCATTGGTGAATGTTTTGTTTAATGCTCGTTTATTCAGTTTATTCAGTTAAATAAATGAATTTGAATAATTTTTTTGCTTATTTAATAAACAAGCGAATATGAACATTTATATTCAATTTATTTCTATCACGCACAAGCTCATTTGAAAGTTTGTTTATTCACTTACTTTTGATCTCGTTTGCCCTATTTTCCTTTTACTTTTATTTTTTATATTAAAATATTGGTGAAGATATGAATTAAATTAAAGATACTTAGGAATATTGGAGTTCAAAATGTGAATTCTAAAAAACTTAAGGACCAATAGTGTAAGTTCACCATTTTAGTGAATATATTTGCTGAAAAGTAAGCCCACGTGAACACTTTCAGAAATATAAATAAGCATATTCGTCTAAGCTAAACCAATAAAAATAAATATCTATAAAAATAAATAAATAAATAAACATAACATTAGTAAGTTTAAATGCATCATTACCTCATAAAGTATATTATTTGTATCGAGTTACCTCCTAAAATAATTTTTGAAATGTTTTTTCTCCTAAGGTGGCGTTTGGTTGACATGAATCCCTTGGAATTAGGGGGAATTGTAATCTAATTCTACCATTTTCCCATGTTTGATTCAAGTTTTCTAAGGGAATTGGAATCCCTCGTGGCTTCAACTTTCTATCAAATGAGGGAAATTGAATTCTATCCATTCTATGATAGAATTCAATTCCCTTGTTGGAGGGAATTGAAATTTGACCATACTACCCTCATCAATTTTTTGGTAACTTATTCATTAATTGAATAAAAATATTTTTTTATTATTTCGGGTCGGTTCGAGTTTCTAATTCATATATTCGGGTCGGGTCGGGTGAAACTTTATTTTGGTCGGGTCGGGTCGGTTTTTTTAAGTGTGATATTCGAGTCGGGTCGAGTTCGGGTTTAGGGTGAAAAATACCCGACCCGAAAATATATATAATTTTACCTTATATATTTAGATATAATTACAATAATACCCTTCTATATATAATTTTTTTCAATTAAGTCACTGTTTTATTGAATAAAAATAATTTTTTTATTATTTCGGGTCGGGTCAGGTCGGATTTCTAATTCATATATTCGGGTCGAGTCGGGTGAAACTTTATTTTGGTCGGGTCGGGTCAGTTTTTTTAAGTGTGATATTCGGGTCAGGTCAGGTTCGGGTTTAGGGTGAAAAATATCCGACCCGAACCAAAAAATATATAATTTTATCTTATATATTTAGGAATAATTACAATAATACCCCTCTCTATATATATTTTTTCCAATTAAGTCATTGTTTTTATTGAATAAAAATAATTTTTTTATTATTTCGGGTCGGGTCGGGTTTCTAATTCATATATTCGGGTCGGGTCGGGTGAAACTTTATTCGGGTCGGGTCGGGTCTCGGATGGAGGTTTCCTTGTTCTCGGGTTGGGTCAGGTGGACCAAAAACCCGACCCAACCCGAGAACAAGGCCATCCCTAATTAGGATGATTTTAACTTATGATGTTTATTAGCATGATTTTTATAATTTATTGAAATGAATAATCAATCAATAAAATTAAAATTTATTTATTTTTATATATTTTTATAATATATTGCTACATGTAATTTATAAACACAAACTAAAATTGAGCAAAAAAAAAACAAGAAGGACAATCCTGTCATTTTACATTACTGAAATCAAATTCATCTGAGATGTATGCGAACCAAACAGAATATAGAATTGAATTCCAATTCAATTTCCTGCCAACCAAACAGAATATATAATTGGATTCCAATTTCTGATAGATTCCAATTCATTCAAAGATTCTAATTCCCTCATAAACATTCCAGCGAACCAAACGCCATCTAAAATTTAAAATTTTACCTTATTTTCCCGAACCGTTAATTCCGTTAAAAAAATTAAAAGTTGATTACACATTTAATCATTCTACTCTTCTTATAGTTAAGTTATATTCATCCAATTATTTTTCTTTCCAAATCATCACTAAAACAATAAACCTGCCACGATGCAGCTAATTTCACAACAGCTCCTCTACCCAAATCGCCACCTTTTTTAACCATCACTAATTTCACTATGCAGTCATTAACGTTCACCTCAATCCATCGAAGTGCAACATAATCATCTTCCATCTCGTGGTTCGCAAAAACAACCTTATCCAGCGTCTTTCCCGAGGGGAAATGCATGGTAGGATTGTATCAAACTGGTAAGACAAAAGAAAGTCTGGTTACTGAAATGCATTGAAACAGAAGCATGGAGAGGGTAGGGGAAAGGGGTCTGAAACGGTACCGTCTGGGTTTTGAAGCCAAGATTTTGGAAGTGGATTTTAACGTAATGAATGCCTGAATGGTTTCGATGGAAGGCTTGGTGTCGACGAAATGAGGGTGAGAGGTAAAGGAGCAGAGGTAGGAGGAGACTATGTAGTTGGTGGAAGAAGAAAGGAATACTTGCTGGAAAATGAGAGTACTTTTTGGATTTCTGGGTGGGTGATGGTCCTATTGGACTGTGTAGAAACTAAAAACGACGTCGAGGATTATGAGAAATCCCAAATACATAGCGACGATCGCTTTGAAGTTTGAAGTGAAACTGTTGTTTGGTTTTGTAAGATTTTGAGAACATTTTCTTTTCTTTCTTTGAATTAGATGAGAATGCAAGAGGCTTTGTTTAGCAAACGTGGCTGCCTGGGTTAACAGGTTTTTTATTTTTCAAAGAAAAGGAGAGAGCGGGTACTCTCCAGGTTTAATATAAAAAAATTTTGATGTCTACTATATATATATATATATATATGAGAAAATAACCTCAGTGACCGAAAATGCTTTATAATATACGATTTTAATCAAATTTTTTTGGATTTGTGAAAATGACCAACAAATTCGCAACGAACTCCAATTTCGCAACTCAGTTTCCAAATTTGCAACGCGAATTTAGAAAATCGCAACAAAGAAGTCAAATTCGCAACACTGAATTTCAAATTCGCAATTGAATTTCAAATTCGCAACTCGATTTTCGAATTCGCAACACGAATTTAATTTCGCAATAGGTTTTAGTTTTGCAACATAAATCTTTTGGGTATATAACTACGCAGCAGCAACAACTCGTAACCTAAATCCTTAAATCGTAACTCATTCCATCTCCATCTATCACTCTCTCCGGCGACATCCGTTCCTATATCCAACGACATCCTTTCCCATCTCTAATTGTTTTTACATAATTTTATTTCTTTATAATTTTCAATGATTTCTCTCCCAAATTATCAACTATCAACTTAATAAAGGTATGTTTTTCTCTAAGTTAGTGATGATATGTAGTTTATAGCTCGTTTGTTTAGTAAATTAATTTACAATTTGTAGAATGAAATCATCTAATGTTGATCATGTTTGGATAGATTTGTGTTTTGGAGGGTCATGGGAGTATGTTCATGGTGTTTTACAATATGTGCCTTTACCCATGAATTTTCAACTAAAACTGTCATTAAAAAAGTTAACTTATGAAACTCTAATGTTACGTGTTGCAAAGAAATTGAATTTAGAGCCTCTAAGTGGATTTAGGCTATCTTATCAGAGAAAAAGTAAAGTTTATTTGTTAACCGACAATGAAGATGTTGAACGATCCATTGCTTACATTAGTGTTTCGCAAGAAGATGATGTTACATTGTATGTTGTTGAACCTAGAAGTAGTGAAGTTGGGTCAGTAGTGGGTAGTAATCAACTAAGTTCTTCAACCCTAGTTTATGATGCTCACAATGTACAACGTTGTTATCAACCTCAAAATTTAATGGTTCCACCACAATTTCATCACTAAGAAAATTTTGTTTCACCACATTTCCAATACCAAACGCAATATCAAAACCCACAACCTTTTCCTAATCCAAATCCCAATGAACTTTCAGCACCAAATTCCGGTTTTCGTATTGACCAGTTAGACGATTATGAGCCAACAAAAAAAATTGTGAGTACTAGTCAGTATTCGAAATTTGATCTTGGTCAATACACAGACTTTGATCTTGGTCAATACTCGGATTTTGATGATGTTTCATAAGAAGAAACAGACCCTGCGTGTAATGATTTTGATATTGGTCAATACCTGAATTTTGATGATGAAACAACCGTTGTCGAGGAAGATGTTGTTGATGATAATGAGGAGGAAGTTACGATTGTGAATGAACATGTTGAACATCCATTCTGTAATTCATATAACCCTGAAGAAGAAAAAGAAGAAGAAGAAGTCCCTGAAGAAAAGAAAAAGAAGAAAATACCACGGGAGTATAACTGGAATATGCCAGAATTACTTCAGATATCGGAAGAAGAGTTAGTAAAGATAGTAGTTGATTGTTACACAAAAGTATTTGTATCAAGAAAGATGATTGTTTTGATACAAAGGAAGACTTGAAGATAGCTTTGTATACGAAATGTGTGGAAGATGACTATCAACTAAAAGTTAACAAATCAAGCAAAGATAGTTTCGAAACAAAGTGTATGATTGACAAAAACTGTACGTGGCGTATGATTGTAAAGAGGATAAAAGATTGCGAAATGTTTCAAGTTAGTACTTTTATTGATAAACATACATGTTCAAGAACCCAAGTTTTTTCTCACCAAAGACAGGCAAACAAAAAGGTGTTGGGTGGTTTTCTGGCTGAGTTAATGTTTTTGAATGGCAGAGTATATCGGGGACATGAAATTATGACTGACATGAATGCTCGGTTGAAGATT